TTTTGTTAAAAAACTTCATTATTAGTATTTTATGTTTAAATCAGGGTTGTGGACCTGCACGGGTTTATTTGGACTACAAATCCATCCTGCCACATTATTCTAGGAACAATACCTTACTGAAATTCTTGATTACACGAAACATTCATAAGCGGAAATCTTTTATTTTTTGATGACTACTTCGAAAGATATCTTTACATTCTTAGTTCCGATGTTAGAGATGCAAGACAGATTTCCAGGAGACTATTCCACCTCAAAATAAAATTTAATATTAGTGAGCGGAGCAGTATAGTCGGACTACGGAATTCTAACTTTCTGCGGTTCTATATTCTGATCCTGAGCAATATTTCGCATATTTGCACCCTCTTTCCCGATTATGTTGACCTATAATCGCTCCACTTTCGAACCCTGGCATATTTTCCAAATCTTGTTTTCCCGAGGTGAATATTTACGCCATAAAATAAAAATTTGGCCACTTTAGGTTTTGGTTGATTTAGCCCTTGGAATATTAGCCGATCATCATCTAAACAGCCGTTTGCACCCTTCTCAGCACCTCCGAAAATTACAGGCGTCGTCCTTGACAATAACCGGAACTTCATGTAAAATGTAAAAGTGGTCAGCGCGACATTTCCATCCTCTAGTGGTGTAAAATCACGTTTTTGGTTCAAGTCACCCCCTTAATTTTTGCCAATCATTACCAAAAACAATTGGGATCATCTTTGGCCAGAACTCATCCGTCATGCAGAATTTCGTGACGATTGGTCCATAACATTGGTTAGCATCGTGTTTACCAATGATAATGGACAAACGGACGGACGGACACACATGTCTAGATCGACTCAGGCAGTTGGGTATGACGATCAATATATTTCGACCAATATTTGGAAAATATAGTTTTGTAGTTTTTTAAAACCATAATTTGTCATACGTTGGACCTAAATTTGCTGGGTTTTGCAGTTACCTTGAATAATTGAAGAATGCGCAATAATATTTAAAAATAATACATTGTATAACCTATTTATTCGGTGCGTATGAGTATTGGCATAAAGTGCAGTGTTGAAAATGCAGAATCGGTACATTTTATATTTTTCCATATTGAAAGATAACATTTCACCAAAGTTTTTTTAATCTACATTATATGCATACATATCTTCCTCATGAACTCCTACATATTTCGTCACTCAAAATAATGACAATATTTTAGTGAAAATTGATTTGTGTCCCTTACAAATCTCCATGACTAAATTGAGGTTAAGTCATTACAATGAATTTCAAGTTTTGCTGTTCTGTTTTACCTCCTAATATTAAAAACAATAAATATTTAAAAAGACAACACTGAAAAATACTTAGTATAACATAATTCTTCGGTGCGTATGGGTCTTGACATAATGTATACGCAATTAGTCCAGTGTATGAAGTGCAGAATTGGTACATATTAATGTTTTCCATATTCAAATAAAACATTTCAGTTTAGTTTTTTTAAAATCTACATTATAGACATAAACATTTTCCTTGTGTTATGTCTACATATCTTCCTAAACCTCTAAAAAATATTCAAATATTTCATAATTCAAAATAATGACAATATTTTGGTGAAAATTGATTTTTGTCCTTTAAAATCTCCATGACTAAATTGAGGTTAAGTCATTACAATGAATTTCTAGTTTTGCTATTCCGTTTTCCCTCTTAATATTCAAAACAATAAACAAAAAAATGGAGAAAAAGACAAGACATGAAACGACTGTAAACAAAATTGTCAACATTTGTTTTATTGTTATTGGTTGGAACGAATTGCTTTCGTCAACAACAACAACAGCAAGAACATCAACTTCCAACCTCTGTAATCTGTGTGGCCGGCCATGTCCTCTTGGTGTCGTATGTATGTAAATTTTGTTTTGCTTTATTTTTTTATTGTACATAGATAACAAGTTTTATTAGAAATTATAGTGCCATGTTGGATTCCCTTTTCCTATACATTAACATGAATTGATTTTCTTGAGTAGGAGGAACCTTAAAAAATTTAAATGGTTTTGGTCATTTGTGGGTTGTTGTTTAAACTCAGTCAGAAGCAGTAAATTGTAGTTTCACTAAGACTTCCCATCAATTTTGTTGTTGTACATAAATATGAATTATTTGTTTGTGCAGACCTTGACGATGTTTTATTATCGCCATAATATGCCTTCCGGTAATTCGTTACGTTGATTGTTGTCTATCCAACCATTAATCCACCTGTCCGTGCCCAAAGGTGCTCAAGCATAAATAATATTGATGATGGCAATACAATTACCCGGAGGAGAACAAAAAACGCGAAGCCAAAAACTTCATTAGGCTAATGACGCCGTGTATTCAAATATTCGCCTTCTTACTCTTAGAATGTGCAAATACTTGTTGTTGTTTTTTATTTATTTTGTGTTTGTTTTGTACACAAAAACACCAGAAGCTCTTTACAAAATATTAATTAATCTTCTAGCTCCTCAATATGGCCCGGGGCCGTTTTTTCGAAATGAAATTAAATTGCCTTGAGTATCCTTGACAAATTATTGCGAAAAATAGTCCTTGGTTTGTAAATAAAACTAATGAAGAGTGTGTTTTTTTTATTAAATAAGCATTGTGGTTTTGAGGGGTTTCAATAATGTTTTAAGAAGTACATAAAAAGGGGGAGAGAACACTGAAGAATACTTATTAAACCAGTTTGGCCAAAATGTATACGACATATTCTGTTGTATATGTCGTATATATTGTGGAATTAATCATACGTCCATAGTTATGCATTGTTATTCAATTTAAAAGTCTACACGTCACTCTGAACATTTTGATAATGGCTTTTAGATGGTGTGAATATTATTATACGTCCCAATTTTATGTTTTTTTTTTACCAAGAAATTAAATTTGAATAAATAACCTTTTTTGTTGACATACTATTTTTTTAATATTTATGGGTCACAAGTGTTTCTCAGAATTTAAATGCTACAAATATTCATTATTTTCAAAATAAACCTAATGAAGAATATTTTTTTTTATAAATTTTATAGTGTTTTAAGAGTACTTCAATCCAATTTCTTAGAAAGTAATTCATAGTATCAAACATCCCTTTGGGGCGTATATAAGTTATATAATTCATTGGCCCATGACCACAATCTCATTAATTGAGAGATTTTCAATATAAATTCAAATTTTCAAATATCTTCATGATGCCTTTCATATTAAATTTTTATGTAATATATTTGATGAGGAAAATATGGCAAAAATAATAACAAGCTTAATGAATTATTTTTAGAATAAAGGAGTCTCTTAGTATATGTCTGTCGGTTGAAATCACGATATAGATCGCAATATTTCAAATAGAGCTTTGAAATTTAGCACTGGCATTGATATTACTCCTAGGATGTTTGATATTGCAAAGGGGTAATGGGGTCCACGATATTATAATAGCCACCATATAACATGAATGCCAAATATTCGGTACGTGGATTTTTGATACGTTTTCAACCGAAATAGCTGTATTTTGCAACGTTTGGTTTTCATTGGGTATCAAATCTTCCTACTTGAAATTATCGATATTGGTCCAGTTTTTAGGGTAGGCCCCTTATAACGGTAAATCCGATTTGTATATTGGGAGTTTAGATCAGTTTTTCAACAGAATCAGCTGAAATTTGGTAATTTTGATTTACTCCGGCTATCAGATCAACTTACGAGACATTATCAATAATGGCGTATGTTTTGGGGTAGTCCTCTTATAACAGAACCCCCCCAATATTCGGTATTTTGATGAAGGTGGGCACATGTTTCTACATAAATGGTTGTAATTTGTTAGCTTGGGTTGTGGTATGGTAGTATAAGTTCCTACTGAAAATTTTTAATATAGGTCCAGCTTTTAGGGAAGTCCCCATTGGGGTTTGGGGAATGTTTTTAAGCGAATTGGCTCCAATTTGACTTCTCAGGTTCTCGTTACGTGCCAAATATTCCTCCCAAATTAAGGTTTTTTTGGGGAGATTAGGCACGAGCTTCAACTAAATTAGCCTTAATTATATATTTTTTATTCTCATTGAATAGAAAATTTCCCCATCAAAAATGATCAAGATTGGTCAAATTTTCGGGTGCTATATTTGCTGGAAAACATGGCCAAAGCCCCATAACAGCAGAGTATCATATTTTTGAGGCTTGGACATGTTTTTTTCCTGCAAATTCGTTCTAATTTGATTTTTCAATTTCCTATGGGTTATCAGATTTTCCTACCAAATATCCTATTATTAAATGTTCCACTCCTTTTTCGATATTCGGTACTATCCCTATCGACTTAACGAATTTGAAAAAGCTTCGAAAATTTATGTTTTTCACTGATGTGTCATTTTGAGTATGATGTTGTTATTTTTTGGATTTTATATCAAAGTCAAATTTGTAGATCTTATTATTGCTGAAGAGTGAAAATCAATATTTCGAATAGTTCACGAGATAAGCATATACATTATTTAAAAATTAACCCCAAATTAATAATTATAAACCCAGCTAAGGGTTTTCTTCTACCATCATAAGCTTTCTGATTTGGCGGTACAAAATTATAGAAACTATCTGACAAACTTTAAGTATTTAAATTGGAGTTGTTTTAATTCTTATTTGGTCTGAATCCATGACATTATTACAACTTTAAATATAAAATAATTCCTCTATAAGGAAACAACAATTTTTTTGTGTAAAATTGAAGATGATTTTCCCACAATTTTGCATTCATTATATTTCGTTGAAATGCCTTCGCATTTGTCTTAATTTTTTTTTCTTTGTGGATCACAATTACACACACTACACCGTGGCCAAATGCAATTTTGTATTTTGCTGTTTTTATTCGTTTTGCTAATTTATTCCACCTTTCGTCATATTATCACCTTAATTTGCAAGCACTGCGAAAAAAATCATACCCAATTTACATATACACTCTCACTCACGGTGATCTATCTACGCGATTATACTTTGACATTTTATGCAAAAGTGCTTAAATAATAATTTACCTCATCATCGTAATTATCCTGTTCGGGCATGTCGTCTGTGTATTATTAAGTAAAGACGCGGGTACGGAGTGTAAAATTGTCTAGATGTTCTGGCAATAAAATTATTCAAATTGCCGCAACGTTCACGACGACGCAGAGTAGTAGCAGGGCCAAATAGTAAGCCAGGCAGTCAGACAGATAGACAATTTGCATATGTTGGTGCAAATATAAATCCTTAGATTCTTCTTCTAGTTGTTTTTTTCTTAGCTATTTTTTTCCTTTTTGTTGTGCCGTATTTTAATTGAAGTGAAAATTACACACAGTCAGACGCACCAACATGTAGAATAGTACAAACAGATATTTTTTTTGAGGGAGAAGGCCCAAGTTGTTGTTTCTTGTTTATGTGTGTGTGGGACCTTGTCCTTGCAACCTTTGTTCAGTGTTAAGTATCTGGCTCTTTTTACAAGTCAAATTGATGGTGTAGTTGTTGTTGCTGCTGCTGATTTTATGGCGGGGTTTAAATTCCACCACTTGCAAAAAATTTGTTACAACCAACAGCTGTTGTCGTCTACATATCCGAACTTTTATGCAGCAAATAATAATGATGATGTTGTAGCTGTATTAGGGTTAATAGTGCTGCTGCTGCTGTTGTATGTTGCCATCATTATAAATATACATGTGTGTTACTGTTCTTGTTGTCGCTGCTGTCTGTATATTCTCGAAAAGTAAGCTCCGTAGTAGTCAAAGAATTCACTACTTTTCCCATTCATATCCTTTGAAGGAAATGCATCCTTTTTTGTGAGGGAGTGAGTGTGTGCGAGTGTTTTACAGACAGATGTGCTGTTCTGAGTACACTGACATAAGTGGCGGTCTTCTAAGATCTTACTCAGACATTTACACAGCTGCACATGTGTACACGCACACACACATGTGTTCGCAGACGAGCAAAGGTTATAAATTGCTATTCGGCTAGGCCTTGAGTTGATTTTAGAAAAATTATTGTGTTCAGGGGTTGTGCCTTCGTCTTCTTCTTTAATTGAGGCCGACCTGCTGCGTGTATTGCCTTAAAGTTGTGGCTTGAGTTGCAATTAACACAGTTTGCTTTTTACTCACAGCCTATTTGAGTTTTTTTTTCGAAGGAAAATTATTTCCCTTCCAATTCAATCGAACACAACTTAAAGCTTTTCGGTATTGTGTTTTGTTATTTTTTTTTCTTTATGTCTGTCTCATTTGTTGTTGCTGAAGAATTGACGACGGCGCTGCTGTCATTGCAAATAACAATTTGTGCCGTTGTTGTTGGAGTTGCTGCTGCCGTTCAAGTTTAACCGATCGTAACGTATTTGCTGCTTCTAATGATGCATTCATTTAGTTGAACTTGTTCCTCGGCTTCAAGTTGTTGGGTATCCTTTTACGCTCATTATGGCTGTTTCTTGAGCTGAATCTGAAGTAGTGCAATGGGGGAGAGAGAGAAGAATAAGAAGAAGATTCATTAATATTTGTTGTCTGGTAAATTTAGGGGCAATTTGTGTGTCTGGGGAAATTGGTGGTGGTGGTTGTTGTGTTTGGTGTTGGTGTTGTCGGTGGCGTAGGGAGAGCGGTCAAGCAAACAACTTGCCCTTCTTTGGTTAAATGGTTTTGCTTTCCAATTGTGAGTGTCTTTTCATGGTGTATTGTCCAATTGTGTTAGCAATCTTTTTGTGTTCTTTTGGCTGCAGAGTTTCGAATGTGTTTTTTTTTGGCAATGACCAATACAACATCTACTGACATACAAACATATGTACATTTGAGTGTAAATGCTTTTTTTTTTGTAAGCCCCAAACATGTTGGTTGTGTTTTTTGTTTTGTTATTGTTGTTAGTGTTTTGGATGGTGTTAGTGTTTTTCTTTTTGTTGGCCATGATGGTGTGAACAATTGTTGTTTTTGTTGTTTGCTGTTAGGCATTGCGTGTGTGTAATTAGTTTTTCTCGTTTTGATGGTTTTTTGTTATATTACAGTGTTTGGTTTTTCGTTTTCGGTTTGATGCATTTGTGTGTGTCTGTGCATGTGTTTTTGTGCCATATTTTACAATTCTGTTTAGTGTGTTTTTTGTTTTGTTTTGTTTTGTTTGTTTTTGGCCAGATGTGTTGCTGCAACTATTCTTCTTCTACATAAGTGCGAATATTTTTTGTTTGCCACTTCTCTTCTAGGTTTTTGTTCATTTTCTCTCTGTTTATATACAAATGTGTTTGATTGTGTGTGTGTTTTTATTTTCTTTTTTGTTTTGCTATCTTCACTTGTTCAATGTAATTAAGGTCAAGAAGTTTAAGGTTAAAAGTATTTACATCATTACACTTCGTAGTGCTATACATATAGACATACATGCAATTTGGGTACCAAACTTTTACAGCTATTTACATTTATATATTTATTGAAAACAACAACGAGAATAGAATATATAAAACCATTGGGTTATTTTAACAACAAAAATACGACAAGGTTATTACAATATTATTATTTTGTTATAGATCAAAAATGGGAAACAAATATACAAAGGTGTGTTTTTAAAATAGATATTAAAGTAATTAAGTTTTTGTTATAAAAATATTTGGAGAATACAAATTTCTATGTATATATTTAATAATACTATTACTAAATATTAAATCCATTGGGGGAGATTTATATCTAATGAATTTCATTTCAGTTACGTATGATAATAAATGTTTGTAATCAATCGCATTTCTTATAATATTTAAAACAAGACGATCCATATCCAAATTTGTGATAGTACAAATACGACCCTAACCACTAAAGGTTCGTACACAATTTACTAATATTAACTCCCACAAAAATTGTCCAAAGACCAATTGGTATCAGAAGTGTATAGATACCACAGTTATGTTTAAAGTCCAAATATTCTGTATAGAGAAAACAAGCGTTTTGTAAATACCAATTTTAATATTTTTGAATGGGGTACGAACCTTTAGTAGTTTGGGTAGTATATGTCTCATAAATAATTTCGTCCGATTTTATGTTAGGGGTTCACCACTTAATTGTAAAATACTATTGTGGTTTGCTACTTTCCAGAGCTGCTGAGTAAATCCACTTCTGAACATATTTCACATTGGTATATCTAAATTTTAACAAAATACTAAGAACATATACTAAAGATGTTACTTTTCCATGAGTTCTGGAAGGTTTTTAAAGCAGATTTTTTTCATTCTGAAGACTTTTGCTTCTAGTTTAAGAAATATGCCCACTATCTATAGAAGATATATGGAAAATACCCTTCTATAAAAGCATATTTCCGAAGATTTCTGCAAGGCTTTCCTAAGACCTCTGGATGTTCTTCGAAGGATTTTTTATCTGATCCTCTAACAATTATTCTACTTGAAGAAGACTACTAAAAGGTCCTTATGTAGAAAAATATATTAACAACGAACAAGTGAAAAAGGCCGAACTTTAGATACCTTCCACTATACATATGGGAAATTACAAAAATCTTTTAAATTCCTTGAAGCTGAGGTTTGCAAGGTTATAACTCGCGAAATATGAACATATTGCATATAATTTAAATTCAATTCTATAAAATGAAGTGTTCTTGTCAAAATCTTGAAATATTGGTAATAAATAATAAGTTGCGTTGAAGCTGTGATGGTGGTAATGTAAAAAAATGGGTGAAAATGTGTTGAAGCCAACGAGTTTTTTTGTATTCGTTCCCGATTTGTGGCTAAACTACACAACGCACGCACATGTGATCAGTGACTAAGTTGCAGAATACCCCATGGACAATATGGTTCTAATGTATGATTTTTCGATATAATCACTGCATCCACCCAAAAAGGATGCTGACATTTTGAAGCCGGATTTTCGGTGTTTTTTGAATTTTTCTTATAATTAGGATGCGCATCCAGATAATAGAAAAAACTAATTATAGGATCGTAGAACTCGTGATTCTGCTTCGTTTAGTGTATATCTCATGAATGTGCTCACTGTAGCTTCTTTGCAATTGGGTTCCAAAGACGAAAATTTAGTGCGTAAATTTTTATAAAAAACATATTTTTTGAGTCTAAAATTAAGAAAGTCCATTCAAATTCCGTGGAACCCCGCGTGATTTTAGTTTTTTTACGTGCCGGATCTAATGAGCCCATCCATGTTGAATTCCGTCCAATAAAACGGCGGATATAGGTACCTTGAATGTGGGAAAAACTGCAAAAACTTATTTTGACAAATTCGCGTAAATAATCGCGGTTTTCTTCGAATTAATTTTACGTGCATTTATGCTTGTATTGTCAAATTCGCGAATCTGTGTGGAAATAGGTCAAAAATGCATCGATACGCGAATAATATGCGTATTTTATCCAAAATTGATTGTGGAGGCACATCCGCGGTTCTTAACCGATCCTTTTAAAATAGGTGTCATTTTGCGTATTTTCATAGGAGATTACTAAAATCGGATGCGCATAAAAATCGTATGCACGTTGCGTGATTTTTAGCCATTCTTAGGGTTTTTGCATAGTAAAGTGCATCGAGTGGCACACTTTGACCGCTAAATTAAACATCGAAAAATTAATAATTATTGAAAGACATTGATTCGGTTTATACGAAAATCGCATGCGCATCAACTGATTTCAACTAATTCGCGAATTGCAAGCTTTTCAATATTGATCATTTTTATGTATTGTAAGTGCAATATATTTAGCCATTAATGACGTCGAAACTCTTTTCAGATGAATCTGCCGATATTTAACAATCATCTAAAAGAATTTGCAGAAGAAAGCGTCGTATATTTTAGAAGATTAAGGCAAAACCGTATCCTCTTAACCGTACTAAAAAAATCGAAAATTCAAAAAAAAAATTGTTTTAATTCAAAAATTAATTTATTTTATTTTCCGATATCTTCATGTTTCTATTTGTTTTTCGCGACTATTAAACCGTATTTCAGTGCGATTTGACTAGTATGCAAAGAAAACAATGGTGTTTAACCATTTGTGATAAAATTCGCGAATTACAACAAAAAGAAATTCATTTAATTTATATTTGAAATACAAGATTTAAAACCGCTATAACTTTTGTGCGCAGCATCCGAATTTGTGAACGCGAACAGATTTCGAATCAGCATATTTT